GTGGAGCTGACACAACAGGGGGGTGGTATGCTCCCTGTATGACGCTCCTGTAAGTACTCCTGCCTCCCGCTGGACTAGTTGGAGTTTCTGAACAGTCTTCAAAGGCAACCCCACGTAGAGTGTGTTGCAGTAATCTAATCGGGATGTAACAAGAGCGTGGACCACCGTGGCCAGATCCGACTTCCCAAGGTACGGGCGCAGCTGACATATGCAAGTTGTAGTTACTGGGATGTATAGTTCACCTACAATCAAAGAGCATTCTGAACTCCACCAATGATGGAATTGAACCAAATACGGCACACAGAACTCCCACTATGAACAGAAAATATATATCAGTGACTGCTTTGGGGGGGGGGGCACCAAAATACTATTTGCTTACCGTTGAAAATTACCTAGGGCCACCTCTGTCATTGAATCATAGAGTTTGAAGAGATCATCCAGTCCCATCCCCTGCCATGCAGAATCCACAATCAAAATATTTTTGACAGAAGACCCTCTAGCCTCTGTTTAAAGCAGGAGACTTTTACCATATTCTGAGGCAGTATATTCCACTGCCCAAAAGCTGCTACAATCGGTTCTGCCTAATATTCTTGTGGAATCTCTTTGTCTGCCATTTCAACCTTTGGTCTAATCTCTGGAGCAGCAGAAAATGGACTTGCTCTATCTTCAATCTGGCATTCTTTCAAATGTTTAAACATGGATAACATATCACTTAGCTTTCTTTTCTCCAGGCGAAATGTATCCAGCTTTCTAAGTCACTCCTCATAGGGCATGGATGCATCTAATGAAGTCAATTTAAGTSTACAAAGGAGTTATGCTATCAATGCATTTATCTCAATCCTGTAGGTTCTACAAGATCCCATTGGCATACTAATTCACATTAACAGAGCCCCCCCCCCCCCCATTTTTGGTAAGACTCCAACAGAAAGAGAAATTCAACAGAAATAAAAGGCAGACTTTGCTAACAATGATTAGGAGTARAGYATACTGATTTGCAAACCTTCAAGTAAACAATAACTAAGGGGAAAAGTAATTATTTAAATAAACTTACTAAGGTAAACAAATCCATAAATGTCAGTGGGATATTGCAGTCATCCATATTTGTGGCCTGAGTAATTTACAAAGCTCACTATCTTCATGTATGGATTCTTATGGGATTTTTTACAGTATTATTAACTCGTGCAAAACCGCAATTGCTTCCATTTCCACACCTTGATGCCATAAATAGTGACCATTTGGGGAGGAATGTAAATTAATAAACATTTTTTTAAAAAAATATATAGTGCCCTTTTAACTGGATTTTAGGAAGCCCATCACTGCACTTTACATCTTCAGACATCTTGGAAGTCCCTAGTGAAATAACGGCTTTTTAGAATAGCAATGTCAGTTGCTTTAACACATGTGGAAGCTGATATGGTGATGGATTTTTTTTCGTGTCAGGAGCAACTTGAGAAACTGCAAGTTTCATGAGATGGTGGGAAAGGTTTCTTGTAAACCTACTGACCATCTACCTCAATGCTCTAATTTAGCAGTTCAATTCCTTTACAAGGACAAGATTTGCTCCATCAATCATTCTACCTAAGAGTAATTCTCCTGCTTTCTTCAACTACAAAGCTATCACTGCTAGACAAAACTCCTAGCAGGAAACAGCAAAAAGTTAAAGATATTAATGCCCTTTGAGTCGTTGTCTCAAACTGATAAAGAGAGATTAATGTGCCCATAGGTTAAAGTGGTAAATGGTAAATTTCTAGCCTCTTGCTCTCTTACTCCTAATCAGAAGTTTTAATTCACTTATAGTTTCTTTGCTTACCTTAATTAATCCCTTTAGCTGTGCACTTGAAGATAATAAAATGAAGAATGCTGCCAAGGGAGTACTTGGTGTCAAAGTTCTTACAGCTTTTACTATAAACCTTTAAAAAGTACTTATTTTCACAAAAAGATCAAATTGTTTGCTTTTGATTATTGATTTTGCACACTTACATCTGGAATATTTTTTACCGAAAAGGTTTCCCCATATAACAACTCAATATTTAATATTATACTTCCACTGTGTTCCAAAAGCATGGAATCCTAAAATTAGGTCTGTGAATAATTTAGTTGTACTGGTTCAAGAGGAAAGCCTGAAGCACAACATTTCTGAAACCCATCAATGTATGTTACTTTGTAGCTTTATAAAAGATGTAAAATAATTGTGATATGGTAAATACCTGGAGACATTTTGCACCTGACCTCTAGCTGGCAAAGATTAATAACCATACAAAGAAACCTGATTAAATTTTACTCATGTATTATTAATAGGCAATGACAATGGCAAATGGAAATTTTAGTAATGGGGTAAAACCTAAGTATAAAGACCTAATCACATTAGGTGCCCTAATGTGGGTGAAAGTGGGGCGATTTGCTAGGCATCACAGCGAATATGTGGGACAACAGGGGAACCCCCATCACAAGGGGGAATGCATTGCTGCCCAGCTCTCCCCCCCCCCCCCGTGATGTTCTCATTGCTCTGTCATAGGACACTTTATTTATTTGTTTATTTGTTTGTTTGTTTGTTTATTTGCAGTATTTATATAGCTCTTTTCTCACCCCTGAGGGGACTCAAAGTGGTTTACATAAAAATAATGGCAAATTTTAATGCCTTACATACATAAACCAAAACCCAATCAACAACATATAACTACCATAAAATCAATAGGACAATTCACCATAAGATAAGATAAGATAGATAAGATAAGAGGACATTTAAAACATGAAATATAAGAATTAAAACACCTAATAAAAGCATTACAATCACATTATCCAACTCGTAGACTTTCAGGACATTTCAGGGACGGAGCCCAGCCGGAAGTAGCTGTGAATCATTTTATGGGATCCGGCGGGCTCAGTCCCTGAAGTGTCCTGAAAGCATCCTATGATGGGTACGTTTGCCCATGTGGAAGTGGAAAGTGGATTTCACCCTAAGTTTCACAAGAAAGATTGTGAATTTGAATTATGTATCTTTCAAAGTTGCAATGCTGTAAATCCTACCAACTTTTATTAATCTTCCTGCCTTCCAATCCCATTGACCCCAGTGTTTCTCACTATGAATGAAAGTCATACATAGACTTGGCTATAGAGTTAGGCAACAGGTGTCACATTTGTTTTCATCGAGGGCCATATCAGCCTTATGGTAGCCCTCAAAAGGCCATTGAATTTATGGATGGAAAATCTGTGGATACAGAGGGCAAACATTCTCTCTCTGTATATATGTGTGTGTGTGTGTGTGTGTGTGTGTGTGTGTGTGAATATGATCATGGTCAGTGCTCTTTAGTTTTATCCAGTTTGAATCCCAAAGATGTCATTGAACAATAACGCCTGTCACTTTGATTATTCACCATGCAAACTGGGGACAATGGGAATTGCAACCCAATGGCACTTGCTACTCTGAGATTGGGGAAATTTAAAGGCATTATAAAAACAGACATCATGTCCACAAGCCTTGTACCTAAATTGAAGCTTCACTATCCTGAATAAACAGAACAGATGTTACTGTATCACAATTGCCATCAGCTCTAGTTATGGTGCCTAATGATGAGAAATATGAGAGTTGTAGTCCAGCATCTGAAAGCCACATAAAATGGCATGGTGGGATGAAATCAGAACTGAGCGCCTTAAGTTTGACATGTGGGTAAGACTGCAGGGTATCTATTTTATTAATTGGAGGTCCATTCTAATAAATTGCACATATCATAATTAGATCACAAAGTGTGATTCCCATCTACAGCCAGACAAATCATCTTCTCTTTTTGCCTGATCATTATCATCACCACTACTACAATTGCAAATGTGTGTAAAGGGAAGGTAATAATGGAAACTGAATGGTAATTATGGAAGGTAATCACTTCAAAGATAATCATACAATAGTATATTTTATCCAGCAGATGGAATGACAGGATGAATATATATTTGTGGGAACCTATCCCTATTAGACACGTCTGGTTTATCATGATTTACTCAGTTGGCAGCAAAGTTGGCTTGGTTGAGGACAGTGGGATCCATACCCTACTCCACCTAAACAAGTAAAGACACAGCCGTATAACCCAGAATATCAAGGAAGATAATCCACAATATCTGTTTTGAACTGAATTATCTGAGTCCACACTGCCATGTAATCCAGTTCAATGTGGATTTTGTACAGCTGTGTGGAATGGGCCTCAGATATGAGGTTGGGTTTCTTCAATAGGTTAATGAGATCAAGGAGAGAGAATCAGAAAATGAAAAGAGTGCTAAGAAACATCTCACTCTGGGCCCTTCCATGCAGCCCTATATCCCAGAATATCAAGGCAGAAAATCCCACAATATCTGCTTTGAACTGGGTTATCTGAGTTCCCACTCAGATAATGTGGGATTTACTGCCTTGATATAAGGTTTTGTGAAAGGGTCCTCTGTGACAATGCCTGAAACAATGTAGCAAAATTAAACAACTGAATTCAAGACCAAAATTCAACACTACTGTTTGCCTAATTCAGTTTGCTTCAGCTACAAAGGAATGTCAAATAATTTTTTTCAGGAATTTTTTAAAGGCAGAGAATGCAAAACCAAAGTAGAACAGAGAGCCTTGCTTTTTGTTTGTGCTTTTAAATGATGTTTCTGAGTGTAAAGATCATTTGTATATCCCTAGCAATTTGTTACAAATGCTGCTGCTCTTACTATGGTTGTTGTGTCCATGCAAGTAATTTCTGATTCGTGGAGATCCTAAAGCAAACTTAGGTCATTGCCTTCCTCTGATACTGAGAGAGCTTGACTTGCCCAAGGTCACCCTGGTCTCCAAAGTCCTAATCCGAGTCTCAAATCATTACATCATGTCAAGTATCACTAGCCTGAATTTTTCATGCAGAAAAAAGAAATATCCATCAAAGTACTACCACCATTATTATTATTATTATTATTATTATTATTATTATTATTACCAAGGAATAACATTAAAACATAACAGTAAGCATTCCAGATTTCATTTTTACCTGTATTCGTTCCACTTCCAAAAAAGTTGCTGAATGGAAGGCCTTTTCCCATAGTATGAGGTCACTTTCTAATTCCACAGAAAAGTAGAGATCCTCTCCCATTTCGGACTGGACACCAAAACCATGTTTTCGCCGATCAAGTAGGTCACTGTCCTGATGAAAACCTGGAGTTATATAATCTTGCATACATCAATTAATATTTCTTATACCACAGCCCCACATGTTAGATACAAAACAATGCAGAACAATGTATCTCTGCAAACCAAAGCACCATAACAATCCGATGCCATGAACAGACCCGTTGTTGAATAGCGAGTCAACATATAGGTAAACCAGTACCAGGACAGAAGTGAAATTATTCTTTGGTATTTCTACTTCTCAGAATTTTGGAAAACCACTCTCTAAATGTTATCCATTGATGTATCTAAAAACACTTACTTTATGGAAAACTGAACTAAACTGCACTTTAGAGGAAACTAGTAAAGGAATCCCTGGAGTCCCTGGTGCAGCGGGTTAAACCACTGAGCTGCTGAACTTTTATTTATTTATTTATTTATTTATAACGTTATTTGTACCCCGCTAGCATCTCCCAAGGGATTCGGTGCGGCTTACAAGAGGCCGGAGCCCAACATAACACAATACAACAATACAATACATAGCAAATAAAACAGTTAAAGCAGAAAACAATAGCAATGACAATACAACAGGACATTATTAAAAACTGAGCCGGCCGGAGTAGGGGTACAGGATTAAAAGTGCTGAAAAGTGTTGGAGGGATATGGGATTAAAATATAAGTGCAGTGTGCGTTGAGGGTGATCTTGACTCTACTAAAGTGCTTCTGGGCTTTGGTAGTGGGGTTCCTAATCTGAGAAGGCACGTTGGAACAGCCAGGTTTTCAGGTTCTTTCTGAAAACCGCCAAGGTAGGGGCCTGTCTGAGATCTTTCGGGAGGGCATTCCAGAGGCGGGGGGCCACCACAGAGAAGGCCCTGTCCCGCGTCCCCACCAAACGCGCCTGCGAGGCGGGCGGGATCACGAGCAGGGCCTCTCCTGATGACCGAAGTGAGCGTGTGGGTTCGTAGACTGTGATGCGGTCTCGCAGGTAGGGTGGTCCCAAACCATTCAGGGCTTTGTAGGTAAGCACCTGCACCTTAAATTGGGCTCGGAAAATAAACGGCAGCCAGTGGAGCTCCTTGAACAGGAGGGTTGACCTCTCTCTGTAAGGGCCCCCGTTAGCATCCTAGCTGCTGCCCGTTGGACCAGTTGGAATTTCTGAGCCGTTTTCAAGGGCAGCCCCACGAAGAGCGCATTGCAGTAATCCAGTCTAGAGGTGACTAAGGCATGGACCACCCCGGCCAGATCAGCCTTCACGAGGTACGGGCGCAGCTGGCGCACAAGTCTCAGTTGTGCAAAAGCCCTCCCACCGACGCCTGAGCCTCAAGCGTGAGCGATGAGTCCAGGAGGACTCCCAAGCTGCAGACCTGTGGCTTCAGGGGGAGTGTAACCCCGTCCAACACAGGTTGCCACCCTATACCCCGGTCTGGTTTACGATCGACCAGGAGGACCTCTGTCTTGTCGGGATTGATCTTCAGCTTGTTCGTCCTCATCCAGATAGACACAGCGGCCAGGCACTCGTCCAGCACCCGAGAGGCCTCCTTGGAATTAGGTGGAAAAGAGTAGTAGAGTTGTGTGTCATCTGCGTAGAGATGGCACCCAACTCCAAAACTCCGGATGACCTCTCCCAGCGGTTTCATGTAGATGTTAAAAAGCATGGGAGATAAAATAGAGCCTTGCGGGACCCCACAGGTCAAAGGCCAGGGGTCCGAGCAGGCATCTCCCAGCTTCACCATCTGGGTTCGTCCCTCCAGGAAGGACCGGAGCCACGACAGAACCGTGCCCCCGAGACCCATCCCAGAGAGGCGACCCAGAAGGATACCATGATCGATGGTATCGAAAGCCGCTGAGATGTCCAAGAGAACCAGCAGGGTCACACTCCCCCTGTCCAGTCCTCTACGGAGGTCATCCACCAAGGTGACCAAGGCTGTCTCGGTGCCATGACCAGGCCTGAAACCAGACTGTGCCCGATCCAGGTAATTGATGTCATCCAGGAAGCCCTGGAGCTGGAGGGCGACCACCCGCTCCAGCACCTTACCCAGAAAAGGAAGGTTGGAGATCGGTCTGTAATTGTTCAGCACCGTAGAGTCAAGGGATGACTTTTTTAGGAGTGGGCGAACCACAGCCTGTTTCAAGTTAGATGGAAAAATCCCTTGCTCCAACGATGCGTTAATGATCAACACAAACCAATCAACCAACCCCTCCTTGGCAGATTTAATGAGCCAGGATGGGCAAGGGTCTAGAGCCGAAGTGGTCGCCCTCACAGCCCCAAGAACCTCCTCCACGGTCTCAGGAAGAACAAGCCGAAAGGAATCCCACAAAATTGGACAAGCAGATGCCTCAGTCACCTCCTCTGGCACTGCGATGAAATTGGAATCGAGCTCAAGACGTATCTGGGCAACCTTGCCTGCAAAGTGGTGTGCGAAATTGCAACACCGAGCTGCTGGGTCGTCAGGGGTCTCGTCCACCACAGGTGGGTGAAGGAGCTCCCCGACAACCAGAAACAGCTCTGATGACCTATTTGCTGCAGACGCTATCCGGGCGGTCGTGAAAGATTCCCTGGCCGCCCGTATAGCCACGGAGTATGCCTTAAGAGAGGCCTTAGCCCGTGCTTGATCAGACACGTCCCGAGATTTCCTCCACTTCTGCTCTAGCCCCCTTCTCGTATGCTTCATCGCAGCCAACTCCTCAGTAAACAAAGGAGACGGCCTGTCATGACGCAACGAGACGGGGCGTTCGGGAGCGATCGTGTCTATCGCCCTGGACATCTCCCTATTGTAAAGGTCGACCAAGGCGTCAACAGGATCGCCAGGTTCCATGGCAGGAAGAACCCCAAGATTCCTCAGGAATCCATCCGGATCCATCAGTCTCCTGGGGCGGACCATCTTAATTTGTCCTCCACCCCTGCGAAGGTTGGGGGTCGCAGCAAGCCTAAAGCTGACCAGATAGTGATCAGACCTTGTGGGGTTCCTCAGGGTTCAATATTGTCTCCCATGTTGTTTAACATCTACATGAAGCCGCTGGGTGAGATCATCCGGAGTTTCGGAGTGCGATGTCATCTGTACGCGGATGATGTCCAACTCTGTCACTCCTTTCCACCTGCTACTAAGGAGGCTGTCGAGGTCCTGAACCGGTGCTTGGCCGCTGTGACGGTCTGGATGGGGCGAACAAATTGAAATTGAATCCAGACAAGACAGAGGTACTCCTGGTCAGTCGTAAGGCCGAACAGGGTATAGGGTTACAGCCTGTGTTGGATGGGGTCGCACTCCCCCTGAAGACACAGGTTCGCAGTTTGGGTGTGATCCTGGACTCATCGTTGAGCCTGGAACCCCAGGTTTCAGCGGTGACCAGGGGAGCATTCGCACAGTTAAAACTCGTGTGCCAACTGCGCCCGTACCTTGGGAAGTCTGACTTGGCCACGGTAGTCCACGCTCTGGTTACATCCCGTTTAGACTACTGCAACGCTCTCTACGTGGGGTTGCCTTTGAAGACGGCTCGGAAGCTCCAATTAGTCCAACTCGGCAGCCATGATACTAACTGGAGCGGAGCGCAGGGAGCATACAACTCCTCTGCTGCACCAGCTCCACTGGCTGCCGATCTGCTACCGGGCTCAATTCAAAGTGCTGGCGCTGACCTTTAAAGCCCTAAACGGTTCTGGCCCAACTTACCTATCTGAACGTATCTCAGCCTATCAGCCCACCAGGACCCTAAGATCTTCTGGGGGGCCCTGCTCTCTATCCCGCCTGCTTCACAGGTGCGGCTGGCGGGGACGAGAGACAGGGCCTTTTCTGTGGTGGCCCCGCGGCTATGGAACGCCCTTCCCTTGGAGGTAAGATCAGCCCCCTCATTGATGGTATTCCGAAGAAGATTAAAAACCTGGATGTTCGAGCAGGCATTTGGTTAACTCAGTGCAATGAATGTTAATGATTAAAGGACTGGCAATATGGACGACGAACTGGATCGCGATTTTAGTCAAGAGATGAATTGGATTGTTTATTGATATATGTATTGTGGATTGTGTTTTTATGCTTTTAAACTGTATACTGTTGTTTGTTATAAGTTGTTGCAAACCGCGTTGAGTCGCCGGCTAGGCTGAGAAACGGTATACAAGTATAGCAAATAAATAAATAAATAAATGACACTGGAAGGATGTTTTGCTCTTCCACTCTGATCATTCTACTGTCCGCCACAAAAATTAGGTCAAGAGTGTGTCCAGCCTGATGGGTGGGACCTGATATAATTTGTGACAGTCCTATGGTCGTCATGGCGGCCATAAAATCCTGAGCTGTGCCAGACAAGGAGGTCTCAGCATGAATGTTAAAATCTCCCAACACCACCAAGCGCTGGGAGATCAGGGCTGAATTAGAGACCACCTCCGCTAGCTCAGACAGGGAAACTACTGGGTCGCGGGGTGGGCGGTACACCAGCAGAAACCCCACACTGTCACGGTTCCCCACCCTCAGGTGGACACACTCAAACCCAGGTGCCTGCGGAACAGCGCATCTGGCCACGGCGATGGATTGCCGAAAGACCACTGCGACCCCTCCTCCCCGCCCCCCTTGTCTGGCCTGCTGATGCACCCCGAAACCCGGTGGGCACAGCTGGGTGAGATTTACTCCCCCCAGCTCATCCAGCCAGGTTTCCGTGATGCATGCTAGATCTGCTCTCTCATCCAGAATCAAGTCCTGAATAGCAGAGGTCTTACCATTAACGGATCTAGCATTGATCAGCAGGACCTTAAGACCGAGGGGACTGCCATGGCGCCTACCACTTCCTACCTTCTCCAGGGTCGCAAGAACTCTGTTGCGCTTCTCCCTGGGATGGTGGTGACCCACGAGTCTCCTCCCCCACATGACTTGGATGGCGCCCACCTCCTCAGCCCCCCCCCCCACCTGGTTAGAACCTGTGGCTAGTCAACTCTCGGAAGAGGTAAGGCTGGAGTACAATCTCCCTTGGATGTTAGATAGGGATGCTTCCGATGATGGAGTGGACGGAGAGTCAGCAAATGAGCTAAGTGGACTGAATAGGGGAAGTGTCCTTGGGCGAGAAAGAGTGGCTGATTGTGCAGGGACAACTGGGGCAGATGGGGTCTCGAGTTGTAAAGGGACAACTGGGACAGATGGGGTCTCAAATTGGTACAAACCAGGAGGGGGGGCCCTAACCGGGGAGCTGTCTGTGGAATTCTTGCAGGGGCCTGATAAGACAGAGCGAGAAGTCACTCCGCTGTCAAGAAGGGGGCGAATGAAGGGGTCCACAACTACGCTTCTGATGGTGATGCCCCATTTCTTTAGACAGGATTGCATTGTCATTAGCTCGCCAAGCCATCGGTTGTCTTCTGGTGTAATTAGAAGATGCGAGGAACGATCAAGAGATTGATAGTCCCTCCACAGCCATGTAACTTGCTGACCAAAAGGTTGGCAGCTCAAATCCGAGAAGTGGGATGAGCTCCTGCCAACCTAAATAGTTTGAAAATATGCAAATGTGGATAGATCAATAAGGCACCGTTCTGGCAGGAAGGTAACAGCACCCCATGCAGTCATGCTGGCCACATGACCTTGGAGGCCAGCATGACTGCACCAGCTCTTCATCTTAGAAATGAGATGAGCACCACCTCCCAAAGTCAGACACGACTAGACTTAATGTCAAGGGGAAACCTTTATCTTTTTAGTGAACAACAGTGACAAAATAATTATGTAAGAAAAAACATGTTCATAAGGAAACTATGAAGTTGTGAACTAATAAATTCATTTTGTAGGTGCTTTTTCAGCCTACATTTAGCATGAATTCTACATTTTACAAAAAAAAAAAAAACCTTGCTGAGGTGGCTTATGATCAGAGTTTATTTGTAATACAGTAAACAAATTGAGTAATAAATCTCAACCTTGTTTTAAGGAGACTAAATTTTAGTCTAAAAGGTCATAGACTTGTCATTGCCTCCCAACCCCAAATTCATCTTGTACTTTCCTGTCTCCTTTGAGACATTTATTTCCCTCATCTTTTCACTTTTATTCTTCAAGTTAGCCTGGAGTCCTAGGAAGTGCTGTCAGTGAGGCCACTTTTATGAGTAGCTTGGGCAGGAGAACTTTCATTTTATTCCATTAGGGAAATAAATATGGGATGAAGGAGGCAGCAAATCGCTCACAACAAAAAGAAGAGGTCAGAAGGCAAAAACAGACACCCTTAAGTCATTATTCTTAGTTTTACACATTCCCCTTTCCCCAGTATCCACACTATGGATTGTAAAAATAAATCAAGAAGCTTAAACTATTTTAGGAGCAAGAATCCAAGATTCAAGACCAGAGACATATCTAAGGATGTCACTGTCCTCAAAAGTTCAGTACATACAATTAATATTCCCAGTTTTTGGAATAAATAAATCATAAATTGTAAAGCATAAGCAAAAGTGTGACACAAATGGCTACACATCATATTGGATTACCTATCTGTTTTTATTTACATTAATTAGTATTTATATTTTAATATCAAAGTTCATGTCTGCTTATAGGGGTCTATAGGTTTCTATAATTGGCTTTTCAAAATTAATTTTAAAATTATTACAATCTTCAATGAAGAAAATGAATCATTCCCCAATAATGACCTACTTTGAATGAGACTGAGCATTCAATGCTTGATAGTAACAACTGCCATCACCCAACCACAAAAGGGGGATGATATATAAGAAAACAATGATACCTTGACTTAAGAGTTTAATTTGTTTTGTGACCTAGCTCTTAACTCAAAACGGTCTTATCTCAAAATGATTTATCCCATTGAAATGCTATTAATCTATTCTGCTCCCCGAACCACCCCCCCTAACTTTAAAAATATTAAGGGTGACATTTTTAAATTTCCATATTCTTTGCTGGCATTGGACTGCAGAATACAGAAAGCTTTGCTTTGAAGTTCCTGTATCGATATTGTACACTTTTTAATTCCATGCAGTTTATTAAAAATCAGTTGTGATGCTGGTGGCATCAGAATTCAGCCTACTGATCTTCCTGGGCAGAATATTAAGAAGGGAGAAACCATGTAATCTAAACATGTTTGTTTCAACTCCCTTGTTGAATAGCAATGGGAACAAGGCAGATTGTGTAGGCTACTGAAACATTCTTCATATTGACATAGTGCAGCTATTTGAATGCTCAAATCATGATTTTGTAATGTTTTTATCAAGCGTGATACCGTTCTTCCCTTTAGCATGATGCTAGACAAGCTTCAGAAGAGAATTCTTATTGCTTCCTGTTCCATTTCCCTTCAACCAATTGGTGTGAAATTTGCCTTTATAGAAGTCCCATTATTGTGTTCAGTTAAGCAAAGGGGTATTGGCATTAGTGATTGTTGACTGTTGCTTAAATGACAATTGCCAAAGGGAGACATTGGAGGAGGGGGGAGAGAACGAGAGTGTGCTAAATGAAGGAAGGAGTGAGAATGCAAAGGAGAAATTGGAAAGCATATTTGAATAGCAAGAGATAATGCTAGAGGCAGAAACTGGGGAGCACATTTCGGATAAAAGTGTGCCTATGCCATCTACAATAAATGGACACGATGGAAGGAAACTGGCTTGGCACTAATCATTGCCTTGGGTACAACTATTTGTGTGATAAGAATTACTTATGCACACAGCACTTCCAGGCTCAGGGCCTTATCATGCTTAAATGACACTGGCTAGATGCTGTTATAACAATGAAGCCTTGGAAGCAATATTAAATTAGGACTGAAAAACTATGATCCTGAAAAATTGCTTCTTAGCTTAATGACAAATTACCAGTTTCAAATTTAGTGTAACTGGCAAAGATATCTAACACTTCCTGTTGAAATCAGTCGTGTTCATTTATTACCATAATGTTGTAATAAAGCTGAATTTATTTCCCTATCACCAGATGCCACAGTGTAGCAGTGCTGGGCAAATGGTGACTTTTAATTCAGCTCTAGATGGAAGTATTAACCAAATAGTTGTTTCTGCATATACGGTATAATCCCAAAAACAATGCACTGTGAAGTGCTGTTGCTTGCATATATGTATACACAAGCACACACTTGTCCTTTTAACATTTGTTTAAAAAATGTTGTCTTTATTTTCTTTTAACATTTGTTTTAAAAATAATGTTGTTATGCAGTTGATGCTACCATTTAAGTATGTACATTTAAAACATAATAAAATATTACATACTTTGGTTATTATGTTTTCATAACATTTAAAAACACAGATGGTCATAGAAAATAATCATCAAAGAAAAGCTGCATTTTCACAGTTGTTACTGATGGAAATGCCATTTGGTCAACGGTATACAAACCACTTCTAAGTGTTGAAAACATTATATTAAAAGGGTCTCTTTCTAAATTGAAAATATATTCAGATCAAAGGTTTTCATTCATTCAAATTTTAAATGCAGAACATGAAATGATGGCTTCCTAGAGGCATTAGTTAAAGTGCTGAAATCCATGGTACAATTTTATCAGTAGCCAGCTTCCTCCTAATTTGTTTAATAAAAAACAAGTAACAAACAAATTTCCTCCTCTACAAGAAATGGTCTCACAACTGTCCACAGCAAAGTGCTCTGGGAGGGGTGGGCTATCCACTATTCCAGGCCTCCTGATGGATTTCTTCTATAGCAGTACCAAATCAGCGAGTGCCAACTCAACTTCGAGTTCTTATTTATAGTTGTTTTCATGGGAACTCTAAAGATATAAAAAGGGTGTAGGTAAAGGTAAAGGTTTTCTCCTGACATTAAGTTCAGTCATGCCCGACTCTGGGGGTTAGTGCTCATCTCAATTTCAAAGCTGAAGAGCCAGCGTTTTCTGTAGACACCTTCAAGGCACTGTTCCCTTCTTGCTGGAGCAGTACCTATTGATCTATTCACATTTGTATGTTTTTGAACTGCTAGGTTGGCAGAGGCTGGGGCTAACAGCGAGAGCTCACACCACTCCCTGGATTCAAACCTGTGACCTTTTGATCAGCAAGTTCAGCTGCTCAGTGGTTTAACCCACTGAGCCATTGGGGGCTCCATAAAAAGCCTGTAGGAAAATGAAATACTAAAATATGAGAAAATTTAAATGGCACCCCCCCCCCCCGAATATTATGAGGCTTAAGTCCAGAGCAGGCCTGGTAGGACAAGAACTTTACTAGATTGACAAATGCTAAAAGTAGTCTGAAAAGAAATTGTAGACAAAGTCTGTTTAGAAATTAATCTCTTTAAGCTAAAAAAAACACCCTATCCATTTGTGAGTCCCATCTTGAGCCACCCCTTGAATCAATGGATATTTTAAAGTCAACACTTAGTTCAATTGATTCAGTTAATTAATTTATTCTGGTTTGAACTAACAATTTAATTTATGTCATCAATTTATTGTGATTATTTAATGCTAAAAGAAAGTATGTGGTGCATGCTTTAAGGGAAGTGGAGTAAAATTTGTGGATGTCCACACATTTTGGCCTAAGATTCTCAAAGTCCTTTCTCACTAGCCCTTCTGGTTGGGACAGATGGGAGCTACAGGTTAAAGCATCATGAGGCCAGTAGCTCTCAAACCCCTATTGATATCATTATTATTGATTTGCAAGACCTACCCTCACACTGAAGACAAAGCTCCATGACTATATTCCAATATATATCTTTCATTGCATTACAACACTTTCTAGAACCATCAGCTGAGGCCATTATCCTACACCATATTAAGTTCTGTGTTTTTCTTTTTTGCTAGTAGAAACTGAGGATGACATTATACTTTGTGAATATCCCTTTTTTCATTAGAGTCATTACTCATACCTTGAGTATTTTGTACATGATCTCATACACAGAAAATGTTCTTTCTGCTCGTGTCCAGTCCCACGTAGTAACCTTGGATGAAAACACACAAAATATAACTACACACAATTATTTTGGGAAAACAATTAGACTTTTGATATGTGGCATAGGCTGTTATTTTGCAGTCCCTACTTTTAACAAATCAGTTATGTTCTGCTATTTTAGTAATGTCACTAAAATATATTGCAAAAGGTTTTCATGGCCAGAATCACTGGGTTGTTGTAGGTTTTTCAGGCTATATGGCCATGTTCTAAAACATGGCCATATAGGCCGAAATACCTACAACAACCCAGTAACTAAAATAGACAGGTCAGCAATCCTTAAGATCAATATTTTTGACAGAAGGAGAATACAAGCATATTAGGTGCTCAATATACCTTAGAGATTCTAACAGGCTGGTTATATGGGAATAGTATAATCTGTATTCATGGAAAAGACATCTATTAGATTTGTATCAAACTCTTCTCCATCTTGGCATCCCTCTGCCCTCGGTCCAAGAGAATGAGCAGATATTAAGAAAATCACTTTCTCCTCACATCCTTCAACCTGTCTGTGCCTGAGATTCAGGGATAGGTGTATCAACCAATGAAGTGGCTCAACCCACCTGTCCCAAATCTCATTCTTTTGAGGGTGAGCCAGCAACAAAATTATTCACAGGATGTAAATTCAATAAACATTGCTTTCTGATGGACAACAAATTAGCTCTCATAATACTGAGAAAGCTTATATTTTCTCATGTACATAGTAATCACAACTTTGAGTAGTTCACAAATATAGGTAGATAAACATGTTTCTAAATTTACCAAGAATTTATATTATTGGGCATCAGTATGATTCATTGGCAAGATACACAAAATATCTCAGATTAATCGACTTCAACCTTATTAAAACATCTACACCTTGACAAGAAGAGCAATATATGTAAATGATACTTACTGGAGGTGCTATAAATTTATAAAGGGAAGAACCTCTCAGTGCTAGGAACTTTGGCGTATACATTCGGTCCTGAAGAGAATCTTGTTCCCGTTCTTCTGTCCAGCCCATGTAGACTATCTAGCAGAAAAACCAAACATTTTGACAAATTCTACACATAAACAGCTTCAATAACTCACATACTGTGTATGCATTGAACATGGTATTTAATATTCTGTCTAATCAACAGAACATTTTTGAAATAATTGGATCCTGTACATATGTGACATAAGACTTGTGATTAAACAAACTCATGCTTCAGTGTACAAAACTCATAGCTTCTTTCATATAGAGTTTCCAGCCTGCAATTATCCAAACAGTCTTTTGATAGCTGAAAATGTGTTTTGATTTTCTTACTTTGTAACTATATGAAATAAATGCTATGATGGGCTAGAAAAAAGTCTTCTCTGCCCTTGCCAAAGGAAAAAGAGTTCACACTTCAGTGAAAATGATGATAGAGAAGTTAGGCCTATGCTGGCTTCAACTACATGTTGCTGAAGTGATTATTGCAACCTTTACTCTGTTGTGCTTATTTTTTTGGGGAAAAATACCAGTTTTCCAGATGACATTCAAAAAGGTGACAAATTTATAATCCATTTGGGAGCATGGTAATTTCCTAGTGAGGCATGAACCTAATTCATGATTAAGCAAGATCTTTCTGACTCAAGGATCACAGTTTTTTTGTGAGTCAGGATTTTTCTGCTACATCTGTAAATTGCACTCGCTATAAAAGTAGCAAAGCAGGAGAATACACAGTGCTTCTGATTTATGGTAGCTATGATTAAGATAATTATTGAACACATTTGAGGATATTACGTTTTTGTGTACTTAGCAGTTTTCTGTCCTTTTATTCCTACTCAGTTCACTATATGGGATGGAACAGAAAGGCGAGTGACATAACTTCTAGCAGTTTGGAAAGTTTTGTTGTTTGAAATCCAGCCTTTCCATTTTGTTTCACATATATTCACCTCTCTTTGGCTATGCTTCCCCCACCACCACCACCCTCAATTCATGCCATTGTTTTTCTAAGCTTACAGTGTCCTTAGACCAGTGATACAGGTTTTTGATGCTATTTACATGACTAAACTGCCTAAGTCTTGCCAGTTTTTCTCTCTTCAACTTATACATAATCTTGTCAGCTATCTTCCAAATTATTTCCAGTCTACCAACCCACTAGCAAATTCTTTAAATATTTATAAACTGCCTTTCATCAAAATATATCATTGCAGCTTATTGCTGAAAAATCACAAATTAAGTTAAAACTTTTGCCCTACATCATAAGCACCCCAAATATATCATTTCTATAAACCATCAGTATGCAGTACTTTAAGCAAATGGAGTAGAATCACCAGGTATTTTGGATTATGATGCTGTATTAAGACTTATAAAATTTAGATCTATATCTATGTTAAAATAATTATGGCTGAGATTGCAAATCTGTACTTCTTTTGCTTGAAGAAAAATAATTCAATTGAATTTATTTCCATGAAGATACATATAGTATTGCACCCATTTCTTTCAACAGAACTTTACCATGGCTATGTTGAGCTAAATTATTCTAAATAATGAAAAATTGAGAACACTGCCATTTTCTTTACAATATTCTTTACAAAACACATTCTTTTTTCATGGCAGGCATCTACCTGTAAAAAGCTATTTTACTACCATGCCGTATCATTCAAATTTATTTCCCATTTCCTGGGATTTAACAGACCATGCACTTTAATTAATCTTACTGCTAATAACTAATTCATTTTGAAAATTCATGCTGCTGACAGTGTACAGCATGGAATTTCCACTGAAAACAATTTGTTAAATGGTTTGATATTTAAGTAAATTACTTTTTAAAAGCCTAAAATAATTTCTTTATTTTTGGCAGAATAATTAAAACACTCTACCTAATTACCTGAATTAGCAAGATTCTTCAAACAAGGGCTCTCCCTTTTTCTAGAATCCTCAGAACTTTTAGAATATTTGGAGCAGAATTAATTTGCAAAAAAATAAAAAAATAAAATTCTGAGCAATTTTTTTGGAGTACTAAAATTGAAAACAGCTCAAATGTCTTCCACACAAATATCCCCACCATTTACTTCTAGCTTTATTTATTTCAACACATAGAGAATGAGTGGGTGTATCATTTTGTTATTGTTAAACAATTCAGCATCATAAATCCTTAGTAGTCTACTACAAATTATCCAGATGTATTTGAAGATCCTACATCTACCTAGCCCAAGAAAGGAGGAAAGCAAAAGGAAACAGGGATAAGGGGAGATATGCCCAGTTAAATGCACAATTCCAGAGGTTAGCCAGAAGAGACAGGGAACTATTTTTAAACAAGCAATGCATGGAAGTGGAAGAAGACAACAGAATAGGAAGAACACGAGACCTCTTCCAGAAAATTAGAAACATTGGAGGTAAATTTCAGGCAAAAATTGGTATGATAAGAAACAAAGATGGCAGGGACCTAACAGAAGCTGAAGAGATCAAGAGAAGGTGGCGAGACTATACAGAAGATCTGTATAGGAAGGATAATAATATTGAGGATAGTTTTGACGGTGTGGAGAATGAATTAGAACCAGACATCCTGAGGAGTGAGGTTGAATGGGCCTTAAGAAGCATTGCTAACAACAAGGCAGCAGGAGACAATGGGATCCCAGCTGAACTGTTTAAAATCTTAAAAGATGATGCTGTCAAGGTGATGCATGCCATATGCCAGCAAATATGGAAAACACAAGAATGGCCATCAGACTGGAAAAAATCAACTTATATCCCCATACCAAAAAAGGGAAATGAAAAAGACTGCTCCAACTTCCATAGAGTGGCCCTTATTTCTCATGCCAGTAAGGTAATGCTCAAGATCCTGCAAGGAAGACTCCAGCAATACATGGAGCAGAGAGTTGCCAGATGTTCAAGCTGGGTTTAGAAAAGGCAGAGGAACAAGAGACCAAATTGCCAATATCCGCTGGATAATGGAGAAAGGCAGGGAGTTTCAGAAAAACATCTACTTCTGCTTCATTGACTACTCTAAAGCCTTTGACTGTGTGGATCATAATAAATTGTGGCAAGTTCTTGGTGGGATGGGCATCCCAAGCCACCTTGTCTCTCTCCTGAGGAATCTGTACAAGGACCAAGTAGCAACAGTAAGAACTGACCACGGAACAACAGACTGGTTCGAGATTGGGAAAGGCGTACGGCAAGGCTGCATACTCTCACCCAACCTTTTTAACTTGTATGCAGAACACATCATGCGATGTGCGGGGCTTGATGAATGCAAAGCTGGGGTGAAAATTGCTGGAAAAAACATTAACAACCTCAGATATGCAGATGACACCACTCTGATGGCCGAAAGCGAGGAGGAGCTGAGGAGCCTTCTAATCAAGGTGAAAGAAGAAAGCGCAAAAGCTGGGTTGCAGCTAAACATCAAAAAAACCAAGATTATGGCAACAAGAATGATTGACAACTGGGAAATAGAGGGAGAAAATGTGGAGGCCGTGACAGACTTTGTATTTCTAGGCGCAAAGATCACTGCAGATGCAGACTGTGGCCAGGAAATCAGAAATCGCTTACTTCTTGGGAGGAGAGCAATGTCCAGTCTCGATAAAATAGTAAAGAGTAGAGACATCAGACTGGCAACAAAGATCCGCCTAGTCAAAGCCATGGTATTCCCTGTAGTAACCTACGGATGTGAGAGCTGGACTTTAGGGAAGGCTGAGCGGAGGAAGATAGATGCTTTTGAGCTGTGGTGTTGGAGGAAAGTTCTGAGAGTGCCTTGGACTACGAGAAGATCCAACCAGTCCATCCTCCAAGAAATAAAGCCTGACTGCTCACTGGAGGGAAGGATACTAGAGACAAAGTTAAAGTACTTTGGCCACATCATGAGGAGACAGGAAAGCTTAGAGAAGACAATGATGCTGGGGAAAAGGGAAGGAAAAAGGAAGAGTGGCCAACCAAGGGCAAGATGGATGGATGGCATCCTTGAAGTGACTGGACTGACCTTGAAGAAGCTGGGGGTGGTGACGGCCGACAGGGAGCTCTGGCGTGGGCTGGTCCATGAGGTCACGAAGAGTCGAGGACGACTGAACGAATGAACAACAACAACACATCTACCTATTCTTGTCTGGCTATGCTCTTCCCAGAATGTGAAATATTTTCATTTAATATACGGAGACAAAAACACATCCAACTGGTCTTCAAGAGATCTGGAGTGATTTCTGAGACCTGGTTCTGAAAATCTAGCCATAAGATTCAGATTCTGGAAGTTTATGTAGAAGTTGTTTGTTCTCAACTAGACATGAACTTACAAAATTGGCATCCTAGAAGTGCAGTGTTAACATAGTTTAAATTGAATAATATAATATTATATTTTAAAACTCCTAAAAGCAGTCTAATAACAGTTTAAATACTGTCGATTATGAAATTCTGGTGTGATACTCATTTTGCTGAGGGGACTTACAGCAGCTGTATGAGAGAAAATGTTTTCATGCATGAAACATGCACTCCACTTCCAATTTTTTTATCTTGTCAGAAGCAACTTGAGAAACTGCAAGTCACTTCTGGTGTGACAGAATTGGCCACCTGCAGAGACATTGCCCAGGGGAAACCCAGATGTGTTACCATTCTATGGGAGGATTCTCACATGTCCAAGCATGGGAAGCTGGAGCTGACAGATGGGAGCTCACCCCATCTCGCAGATTCAAACTGCCGACTTTCAGATGAGCAGTTCAGCCAACACAAGATTTGACTCATTGTGCCACCACAGTTCCTTTTTACTTACAAAATGAAAATCATTCAACATAAAATGTAGGTATTATAAAAGTTATTTCATCAGTTAATAGAAATAGTGTCTGCTCACAATGTGAAAAAGAAAGCATACAGTTTGGACTCTTCTAGAACATCCAACACCTATCAAACATAGCCTCCCCCCACACCTTGCTGGTCCCCCTACTACTTCCTTGTTTCTCCCTACCATATGTTCATTGATGCTTCCAAGATGAAGGAGATTGTATTGTCGAAGGCTTTCATGGCTGGAATCACTAGGTTCTTGTGGGTTTTTTCGGGCTATAGAGCCATGTTCTAGAGGC